CTGACTGGTACAATGGTTTATAACTACGACCACTCCGCACATTCATGTACGCACACATACACACACGCACACACACACACACACACACACACACACACACACACACACACACACACACATACACACACACCATACACACATACACACACACGCACGCATGCAAACACACACACACACACACGTGCAAATACACGCACAAATACACACACACAAGCGCGCGCGCGCACACACACACATACACACACACACACACACACACACAAGCACACACATACACAAGCACACACACACAAGCACACACACACACACACATACACACACACACACATACAAACACACACACATCAGCTTGCGGTACGGGGGTGCCGGCCAGCGGAGTGAGAGGCTACGGAAAGAAATGCGTAGACACTGCCGGAGCAGAATGTTGGCGGAGCCAAGTATCTACGAGAGAGGATTCAGGGTCGGCCGGGTAGACACTGCCGAAGCAGAATGTTGGCGGAGCCAAGTATCTACAAGAGTCTGCGTCCAAGGGACGGCGACCGCGGGCCCTGAGTAGCCGTAAATGAGTGTGGCCAACACCGCCTTTATTCACTTTATCAAAGCAAATTACCGTATTTCCACGTAAGTAAGTTCTCCCCAATGACTTAGTACCCCCTATAAACAATACACTTTCCACAGCCGAGGTTATCACCCCGAAAGACAGTTCCCCCGAAAGATAGTTAGTTCGTACCCGTCCTACATGTACAGACACCGTACAGTACATACATCATATGCACGGACACTAGAGTTGCGAAGGCTTCCCACTGCGTGTCATTTACCCCCGATAAAAAAGTACTCCCCGAAAGATAGTACCTCCCCCGAAAGTTCGTACTCATGCGGCTGCTAAGTTCGAAAGTTAGTACGTACTAACTTACGGGGAAATACGGTAATGATGAGAAATGGGAGGTGGGAGGGTGAAACACTACGAGCAAGCAAGAATGATCCTCACACAGAACGGATCGAAATATAACGGAGAAAACTCTAGCATGTCATGCAATGATGCATGTCGCCCACGTTGAGCGCTACATGCTAACGCCATCATGACGCCGCGCCACACGCTGCCCACATCGGAGGCGAGTGTCACGTATGAACGCCACATAGAGAGACAAGTAGTTCAATGTCATGTAGAGAGACGCATTCAATATCACGCAGAGCGCCAAGCCGCACAGAGTACCACACCATGATGTGCAGAGCACGCGACCGTAGCCAGCAGCAAAGCATGAGCACGCGACCGTAGCCAGCAGCAAAGCATGAGCACGCGACCGTAGCCAGCAGCAAAGCATGAGCACGCGACCGTAGCCAGCAGCAAAGCATGAGCACGCGACCGTAGCCAGCAGCAAAGCATGAGCATGTATAACAGCACTATTAAACATAGCAGCAGAGATTGAGCGGTAGCACAAAGCTGCGTGCACCCATTTATCTGCAGTATCACCATAATGCTACACACACACGCACGCGCGCGCGCGCACTCACGCACGCACGCACGCACGCACGCACGCATGCACACACACACACACACACACACACACACACACATGACAGGCAGAATACTTGTCTGGGAATGTCCACTACTGAAGTTGACATTAATGAGTGTATATGGGCTGTATGACTAACAAAATAGTAACATGAAAGACACTGACAAACATAGCGGAATACAGAATCATCTCAACACTAGAACAGCACCATCATGAAGTCAGGTTTAGCACCTCAGAGTGACACGTCAACGCATTGCGCCTGGCAGACATTAGCGCTTGATGTAGCGGATACGCAACACCAGTATCAGAAGTCCGGAAATGAAGAAGGCGAAGAACAACGCCAGCAAGATTCCAAAGTCAAAGCAGATCTGATCCAAGCCCTGCACAAACATCAACCATAACATTGTATGACGTCATAAATATTCATAAGTCTCTTTTTGTCACACCACAAGTCACGCTTGTTAGGTTTTCTAGCACTTGCAATTTTTTGTCACTATTTCTATGTGTATAGGTCACGCATTTTTGCTGTTAGTTTTAGTTATCCGTTCTTCTTTGCACTGAGTTATCAACTCCTTACTGTACTTAATCCACTGTTCTTGTTCCTTTCCCTTTGTCTGTATTTCACCTGATGAGAAGGCTTGAAAGTATACTTGTGAAACTGAAAACGTTCAAGATGTTCGTAAAGAGCCTGAAGTGTGTCCTCTTTTTTTCTTTTCTTTGACTGTAATTTGGATATGCTATACTTGTAGATGTTTCCATGAATGAAGTCATAATGGTGAGTCGGCGTAATTCCACAACCGATTATGGATGCTAAATGTGTCGTTGCAAAGGTTGTCTGTCGTCTCTGAAACGAACATTGTTCTTTTCGTTCTCAGACCCCCTCCCACACACCGTTGGTAATGAACACAGCTTGCTAATGTGTATGCCGAATATGGCATGCATGTACATTATCCATATAAAAATCGCTCTGTGAGCGATTCTGAAAAACCTTTACTGGTACTGCCCCGTCGTAAAAGTAAGAAATTAGAACTGGCCCATTGTCCCCCCTAATGCGAACTGATCCACCTAAATCGCGAATGACGGGACCCGAACGCACCAGTAGCACGAGGTCGGGAGGGCACAGGATCACAGCAATTATCATAGGGTATACCAGTATTAGTAGTAGAATTTATTATTTTGTAGGGAAGCCTACCGCTAGTACAGTACATGGCCTATGGTCCGGACCAACGTCCCCATCTGCATCCACAGGTAGGAACCTCGTGCTACTGGTGCGTTCGGGTCCCGTCATTCGCGATTTAGGTGGATCAGTTCGCATTTGGGGGGACAATGGGCCAGTTCTAATTTCTTACTTTTACGACGGGGCAGTACCAGTAAAGGTTTTTAGAACCGCTCACAGAGCGATTTTTATATGGATAATTTCAGCTCTTTTTCCGTTCCCTCCCCACCCCAACCCTGAAGGTAAACATGATGACCACGCACGCGATGTACTGTATGTAGCCATGCGACTGCAATAACACACTGATACATACCAGCCCTCCCCGCCTCGCTACCCCGCACACAGATACACAAACATGCGTATGCACACGGCACACACACGTGGCAACGCACATGCACACGACACAAACAGGAAATTCTTCATACATGTATATAATGCCATGCAAAGCAGTGGCCACCGTACTTGAGGAAGTCAGTTGTGAAACAAAAATAATTCAACTACAGCGTGTAGACAAGCTGACGGCCAAAGCACAACATAGCAAAAATGACAATTGCCCAAGGATTGCAGTTTGCAGACCACGCCATGGAAGCAGCGAATACAGAATGTAATATCATACAAAGTGACAAGCAAGGACGTGGCCATCATACACCAGAAACTTGCAGAAAGTCACATATCCAACAGATAGAGAAGTGAACAGCAATCTGATACAGCCCACACAGGACAAAGCGGACCTGATACTCGTCCCAGGATCGCAAGTGGCAAACCCTTTTCAATGCATAACATGCAGGTGTACGTTAGACGCATGAACATCTGACCGTGTCGCCAGCATACAATGTCATCACATGTTTACCCCACAAGTTACACACATGCACAGTAGAAGCACAATGAAAGCAATGGAAAAGTACGATGTGGTTGCTGAAGCATCTTCACACTTCAAATTCAGACTTCAATGTGGTCGTCACGGTAATATATACCTGCAAGATACAAGTGATGAAGAAAGAAAGCAGAAGGTCGTGAGGTAGGCTATGAGACACCACAAACGGTTCACCTACATGTCTGTTCAGGGCTAGTGCACTCACACGGAGAATTGTCATAATCGAGCATTTCCCAAACTGAGAAGTGCAATGAAATCCACTTGCATGCACAGGAGCAATTTTGCAATAATTATTATGATGCGCAATTCGACACGATCTGCGATGCTGCGTGCGATGTGCCCTGCTGCCATGATAGTGACAGTCACCGCGGTATGTTTTGTCAACGTCGCCTGTGCACTCTTCTGTCAAGTCCAAAGTGCTCACATACTTGGCAATGTTTTTGCAGTGATTAACTTTTATCCTAGTTATGTCACAGGTAACTTTAATGAAGTACCCGCAGGCCGTGTCGATCTGCACATCGTCCACTCTCTCATGTACTTGGCCTTCTTTGTCTGTGTATCCATTTCATGTGCGATCCACAAAATCGACTAGACAGTGGGTGCAATACGCTCTCTACCTGAAGACGTTCTTCTGGCGACATCTCGCCATGTACTTGGCCTGGCTTTGTCTGTGTATCCATTTCATGTTCGATCAACAAAATCTCAATGCACTACAGAGACTAGACAGTGGGTGCAATACGCTCTCTATCTGAAGACGTGAACCATTAAATTTTTTGCGTACACCTGAAACGTAATGAAGTACAGGAATAGAGAGAGTGACTACAATACGCTCTCGACCTGATATAGTGATAACGTGAGTACAAGACCTGATAACGTGTTAGAAGGTAACATGTCTACAGTCCCACCGTACCCTTCCGACACGACTGTGGACCATTAAATTACACAACAATACGCTCTCGACCTGATAACGTGAGTACAAGACACTCTCCACCTGATAACGTGTTAGTAGAAGGTAACAGGTCTACAGTCCCACCGTACCCTTCATCATTCCTCATTCACCATCGCGCGATACCCTGGCACACACTGGCAACATATCAATGGGGTGCCTTACCGTCGTCTAGAGGAGACGTCTTCGCAGCAATATTTTCCCTCCTGCGCATTCAGTCGCCGACGCGACAGCGTTCACGGGGCCGTTCCAGTTGCGGAAGACATTCGATTCATCGGGCCAATTCAGAAACAGGGCCGTGGACACACAGGGGGCAGAGGAGAGACATTGTTAGTGGACAAGAAATATGCAGTGGCAAGTGGCGAGTGCCGCATGGATGTCAAGTTGTCATGCACAATTCAGCTATTACTTACGGTCCAGTTAGTCCTGCCATTGCTCGCTCGTCCTGGC